CAGCTGGGGAATCACTGGGCAGTCCTCCTCAGACATGGCTCTGGCTCACAGAGAACAGCCATGGACCAAAGAGCTCGGCTCAGTACCAAGAGCCCCCTGCCCCCCACTGCTCCCTTCCTACCAGAGACAGCTCCATGTCCAAGTCCATCAGCGTCCATTCTCGCCCTTGGAGGCTAGTGCCCAGCACCTGAGGAGGTTTCTGGGTCAAGGGTGCCCTCCCTGGGTTGCACAGACAGCTGGACCCCCCAGGTCTCATGCCCTTGTCCCAGCTGAAGAGGTACTCACATCTAGGGGCCCTGCTGGCTCCACACTTTCTTGGGGGGGTCGAAGCAGCATTGGAGGCAGCAGACTCTCTGGGCCTCTTTCCCCCCTGTCCAGGCCCAGAGGCCCCCTGTGCACAGAGAACTGCTGTTGGCCTGCAGTGCCCACCCCCCATTAGATTCCCAAGGAACCCAGATGCAGCAGGATTTAAATCCCTCAACATTTAGAAAATGCTAGCAGAGGACCCCCCATTCCCTCCCCCCACCATAAAGCCACACATAGAGTACCTCTGCTTCCTACCTGGGAACTGAGGTATGTAGGTTGTGGAGCTGGGGTCTTGGGACATATCCCTTCCCTATGCAAGTGTCAATACTAGTGCTTCTTAAACTATTGTATACTTTATAATCACCCCAGTGAAATTCACTTAAAATGTAAATTTCTGACCCTACCACAGAGGTGCTGAGTGCCCGGAATGGGAGTTTCCATTTTCCAGGGGACTTTGAAGCTGGTGCTCCTTAGAGAAACAGGCCAGTATCACAGATTCAAGTGTCCAATCTCTCCCTCAGGCACCATGGGGCAGACAAGGCTGGGAAGTTTTGTGGACTGATAAGGGTTGATCTATCTGTAAAAGTGGCCCACGGGGCTCATATCTGGGCTCTGCTCACCTGTCAGATATCTCCCTGGGATCCCTTGGTTCAGGCTGTTGGGCATTCCTGGGCCCCTCAGGGCTGAAGCTCCCTTTCCCTTCCAGGATGGCCTGTACCACAGCCACAGGCAGCGGTGGGGGGGCTGTCACGCAGAAGTCACACTCGTTTGGGGCCAGGGCCAGCCCGGCCTCGCCATCCCCCCCTGGACTGGCCGGCTCTTCTTTGAGCAGTGCCAGGCCCTTCTCCCTGCACCGGAGAAAAGCTTCAACCAGACCCTGGCACTGACTTCTCCCCCTACCCCCACAGCCATCTGGGCTGCCAGGCCCTCCCCCATCGGTTCCCCAGAGGGCATACCCTGTGCCCCTTACCTCCTGCCATCACTGGAGGGAGAAAGCCTGGACCCTTCAGGGGATGGAGAGTCTTCAGGGATGTCTGAGATGATGGGGCCCCTGGCCCTGTGAGGACTGAGGCCCAAGGCAGTCTCTGGGAGGGGCTGTAAGTAGAACGCAAGGCCCCGCTCTTGGCAAGCCCACAGGGAGAGCCAGAACCCAACCCACACCCACCTGGACCAAGTCTAAGGGACAAGATTTGAGGGAGGAAGCTCAGTCCGTGCTGGGGAGTCTGGGTCTGGTTAGGGAGAAGGCTGGACTCCAACTTCTCTTCCTTTTGGGGAAAGGGGAGAAGGACTAGACTCTCCATAAACCTAGTAATGCCCTTAGGGAAGGGGGGAGAAGAAAAACCTACCGACTGGATAAAGTAGGGGTCCTGCAGGAGGGCACCAGGTAGGGGGCAGGCGTTGAATTTGGCAGGCGTTGGGCATGAGCTCCCCTCATCCAGCATCAGGGACCTGTGCAGGGTGATCAGGGCACAGGCAGGGGTGGGGCGGGTTCAGCCCCTATGCCCCTCAGCCTGCACTTCCCTCCCTCCCTCAGGCCCCAGCAGCCAAGTCAGCAGAGCTGAGGCCTGTTGCCAGGGCATCAGTCACATGCTGGAGGTGGAAGGGGCTCCCCCCAGAGATGGGGGCCCTTTGGGGGTAGAGAGGGGGGCAGGGAAGCATGGTTGGAGTCCCAGGCCCTCTGTTGTTGGGAAGCTTTGGGGGAAGGGGGAAGGGGGTGAGAATCTGGGGATAAGGTCCTGCAATGGGAGAATCTGAGAGTGGGTGTACCTGGTGATGGAGTTGAGGGAACAGGGAAAAGTCCTAGATGGGGTGAGGAGGCCTGCAGTGCAGGGAGAGGAATGAGGATTCCTGGTTAAGGAGTTTCTAGAGGAGAAGGTGGTCCCTGCGGGTGGGGGGGGGGGGGCGGACTTGGAAGTGGGAAAGTAGGTGTGAGCATCCCTGGCTTTTTCACTCACAGTTTTCTCTTGGCTCCTGCGCTGCTGGGCCCGGCCTGAAGTGGCCCAAAGAGACACTGGATCAGCTAAAGAGAAGGCAATGGATTAATTCATACTTTGGACCCCGCCCCCGCTGTAGCAAGGCACTTCTGGGTGGGTTGGGGGCTTGAACTGGGCGGTGGGATGGGGTGTCGAGGAGTGGGAGAGGAACACCTTGCCGATGACCCGGTGCTGCTGACCATGACTCTGCCGAAGTGTCACCACCTCCCGCCACAAAATCTCGTTCTGCCTGCGGGAAGGGGTGGGAGGGTGCTGAGGCATCTGAGAGTTCGCGCAGTCACCACCCCCCACAGAATGGCGAGGCCAACCGTGAAGCCACCCGGGTGATCATCCACAGACAACCAGAGTTCCTCGGCTCGGCCCGTTTGCCTGGATGGAGGTGCCAAGGCCCGAGAGAGGAAGGGGCTGCCCAGAACCAGCTGGTGGCCTGTATCTTTTCACCCCAGCACACCCCCGTCCCACTGCCCCCGCCCCCCCGCACTGCCTGAGCTCCCGCAGCCGCGCCTCGGTGCTCTCCTGCACTCCCCGCAAAGCCTGCACCTCGCCCAGTAGCCGGCCCAGGTCCTCGGGGCGCCAGCGGCCGTCGTCGCCGCGCAGCGCGGGCACCTGCAGGTGGGAAGCGCCGTTGGGCCAGGGTCGCACGGGACAGGGCGGGCGGTCCCAACACCCCACCTCGGTCTGCCGGCCGCCCTCACCTTGCGCCGCACGCGCTCCAGTAGCTGCTCGCGGCCCCGCACGAAGCTCGGGTGCTGGAACTCGACGTGGTCGCGCTCCGGCCTGAGCAGACCGCCCTGCTCGATGCTCACCACCTTCCGAAAACCGTCTGGGGAGTGGGGCGGGGACGCGTGAGTCCCCGGCACCCAGTCACCCACACCCGCTCCCCGGCCGGCCCTAGGGACTCACACATGTTGAGTTGGCGCACAAAGCTCGCCATGTTGCTGTGCTTGAAATACTGGGGCAGCACCTCCTTGGCGAAGCGGCTCTGGTCGCTCACGAGGAAACTGGTCCCGCTCTACGGAGAACGCCGCCCGCCCACCGTGCGGGCGGAGACCAGACGCCGTGAGCGGTGCCCGCCCACGGCCAGGCCCGCGCTCTGGCGCGCGCGCACACACTCACTCACTCTGGTTCCCGGTCTGTCGCTTATGGGGATATGGGACCAGGCCAGAACCGGCTCCGAGGCCTAGTCTGGGACGACCACAGCGAATCCCTACCCTCAGCCCGACCCAGACTCCGTACTGGGTTCTCAGAAAGGAGGAGCAGTGGCCGGTCGGGTTCCGGCCCGGATGGGTCCCAGCCCCACGAAGGGACCCTGAGCCAGACCAACCCTTCCCTTCTCCTGGCCTGTCTTCCGAGCTGTCGGGTGGGGTGGGGTGGTAACTAATTGACCTCGAAGACCCCTCCGGCTCAAGATCTCCAGGAGGCAGGCTCCTAATCCTTCCTGCCGCAGAGGAAGTCGCCTCACCCCCATCTCGTAATCCCCTCCAAGGTGAACCACTCTGGAGGACTGAATCCGCAGCCCAGTCCTGGGCAGAGGGTGGGCGGGCACGGGTGCTCACTGACATGGAGGGACCCCGGGGGTCAGTGGGGGAGTCGAGGGGCCCCAGCCCTCACCGGGCTCCAGCGGATCAGATGGTCCGTGCCTGGGTCGCCCACCAGCGCCCACAGCTTGCCGAGGAAGGCAGGCACGGGGCTGGGGCCTGGCTCCGTAGGCAGCGCGGCTGGCGCTTCCTGCATGGTGCAGTCTCAGCCCGGCTCAGCGCTCGGGCCCAGCCGCTGCGGGCTCGTCAAAGCCGCGGAAACTGCTGCGTTTGCCGCCCGCTCCGCCCTACTCCGCCCCCAGGCGCCGGGTCAGGCGGGGGCCACGTGCGAGCCCGCGGGGCGGGGCTCGGACAGCGGCCGAGGCACCATCAGACCGAAAGGGCTGGCTGGATCGGATGTGTGTGGAGTGGAGGAGTGAAGTGGGGAGGGAGGCCTGGGTTCGAGTCCCACCTTTCCCATTCGCTCTATTTCTTCCTTTGGTTTTCGGGAGAAATCTCCCGCGAGCAAGCTGATGTGAACCGGGAAAGTCCTAGAAGGCAAGGGCCGTGGGCACAGTGAAGTTCCAGGTAGGGCGGGCAGAAAGGATGGGAGGGCGGGGAAGCTGACCCCCTCCCGCCGAAACCTGGGTCGCGGCCTTCCCAAGAGTGCGAAACGCCCCGCCCCTGACCACCTCACCCTCGTCGGTACCAAAGACCTTGAGGAAACCTCCCGCTTCTGCCCAGATGGCTCCCCGGACCTCTGCGACTTCCCGCAGACCGACCCCGCCTTTCACAGGACGCGGAGACACTGCAGGATTTGTTTATTTCACACTCACCCCTGAGGCTCGGTCAGCCCCTGTGCC